ACTCGTAGGGTGTAACCTACGACAGTAATGTCAGCACGCATAAAACCATTGACTGAAGTTTGGATCCGTCCAGAGGTGCCTGCAGAAGTGCCATTCATATTATGCTTTGTTTGTGAAGTCTGTGTCGCTACTGTTTTACACTAAGGAAGCACCTTTGTCATTTTATCTTTGAGCAACCAATCTGCTATTACTTATGTTTGCTCTGGCGGAGGAAATCATTGAAGGGGAGAGAGTTCTTAACCTTCTGAGCGCAATTTGACCATCTGTAACACAGTGGTCTTTTCATCTGGTAAGCAGCCACCTTTTCCTTTGGTTTGGGCATATCTTTCCTCTGGATCAGGAGGAACAACATTTCGGTCCCTTCCTAGCACATGGTTTTTATGTTTGTTCATGAAGATATTCTGCAATTCTGTATTTACTATTCATTTTTTTGGACTTTTTTTCAATTATTGTTGGGATCACTGAATTGTTTGGACTTTTTTTTTACTTTATCACTTTGTGGTTCTTTGCACATGCATGTATGTATTTATGTATTTATGCTTCAAATGAATTCTATATAGTTATCTATTTTTATCTATTTATTGCACTTATTTATTGTGTTTTCATTATGTATAAACTTAAGGTTGTGATTTATTTATTTTGACTGCTTTAGCACTGCACTTTATTTATATAATATTTTCAGCGGTGGTACCAGAACTGTTTGTGCTAGCTGCTTCTATATTGGTTTAGCCCAAAGTGCAGTGTTCACTCTTTATTTTGATATTCATATTTAAAATTTATATTGATGTTGCACACCTTCCAATTGTGAACTGATCAAGCAGCAACACATTAAGTAAGCAGAAACTACCTGCCTGAAACCACTAAGGATAGATCTGACAGGTGAAGGCAGGATGGAATCTGGCACTTAGTTTCCCAATGCATCTGGACCACCAAAACACTAAACTACAGTATAAGACAAGCCATAATCTGCAAGCAGAAGCCAACATGATCATTTTCAAAAATGTTCTATTTTTATCACCTAAATGGGTGACTCCCATAGCCGTATAAGTGCACTGGAAAGTAAAAGCTGGCTCCAATCACCAGTTTAAAATTTGAAGTGATTTTAAAAATGTTATAATGGAATTTAATATGTTATGTTTCAAATTAGAAGTGTTTTTTTTATATATTTGTCTTTTTTGCATTAGTTACTTTGGTATAGTTTCAGTTAGGATGCAGCATATTTTGTTTTTGCGTGGATTATTTTGATTTGCTACTTATGTGGCTTTTAGAGAAAGATGGACTGAGTGTTTTGTGAAAAAAACAGTGTTTTGTGTTTTGAGAAAGATGGATTGAACTACATTGAAACATTGCCAATAAAATGCAGTTGTTTTGATTTATTTCTGCTGCAAGAACAGTGAATGCCTCTATACTTGTTTATGGATTTGTAAGAATATCTCTGTGGGTGAGAACCTGGGCATTTGTCTCTCAAATAGAGTGAAGTGGCTACTCTGGGGACTATAGATATGTAAATAAAAATTGCTATAGTCCGCATGGCCACACCAATTGCAAGTTTTTAAGTTGTTAAAGTAGAATTCTAAGTTTATGCATTTTTAAATATTTTTCAGCCCCAACGTCTTATAATAAATAAGAAAAAGTTTAAATCCTGTATTAAATAAAAAAAAAAATAATTTCTACTTTATTTTCTGTGGGTCCACCCCTCTGGGTGACACCCCTTGGAGTACATAATCACACAGGATGGGCTCACTGTCTTCCAGAGTGATACTCACAGGTCATTACATGGATGCTACTCAGTCCTGAAAAAAATTACTGCCCCCATTACTGTTGGGGGTTTCAGGGAGGAAGGGGGGGGGGCAAAATGGCTGGGGTCCTGCTTTAAATGGGAGAACATTGCTACCATCAGCTGCATTTTACCAAAGACACAGGTGGTTGGGATTGCAAATCCTGTAAAAGTTGCAGAAAGCTGGTTGCATGCACAGGGGACTGAACCCCAAACTCTATTGTTATTAGGATGGACCCCTTGGACACAACCTTCCTTGAAAACTATAGAAAGTAATGGAAAACCATTTTAATCTCACCTTGTGATGTTTCTTTTTAGAAGGCCCATAGTTGAGTAGTGAACTGTAACCCTCATGTGAGAATATTCATTTTGTTACCATATTTATTGTTCATATTCTTGTTAGAGAGAGAGAGAGATAGAGAGTGAGAGAGAGAGTGATAAAATCTACCTTCAATTACTTGTTACATCAAAGGTTCATCTGTATATGTCTAAATAAATGTTATGATTATTTGTCATACCTATCAGTTATTCATAATTGTGCATAGTTACAGACAGATAGCTCTGTGCTCTGTTATAAACATGTATTCATGGAATAGCTGATTGGTATTTTCTGCCACAGTAATATTTGCAGAGTTGTCAGAAGATAAAGCCTTCAAATATATATTTGTAAAACAAATGCATGTACAGTGCATTCATAAAGTACTCAGACCCCCTTCTTTTTTTCAATTTTGTTATGTTGCAACCTGATACTACAGTTGATTAAATTCTTTTTCTCAATATTCTACACTCAGTACCCCTTAATGAAAAAGTGAAAACAGATTTTTAGAAATGTTTGAAAAAGGAAAAACTGAAATATCACATTGGTCTAAGTATTCAGACACTTTGAAACAACATTTGAAATTTAGTTCAGGTGCCTCCCATTTCTCTTAATCATTGCTGATATGTTTCTACACCTTGACTGGGGTCCACTTGTGGTAATCTAAATTGATTGGTCCTGATTTGGAAAGGCACATACCCCCCTATAAAAGGTCTCACAGCTGTCAGAGCAAAAGCCATGAGGTTAAAGAAACTGCCTGCAGAGCTCAGAGACAGGATTATTGCAAGGAACAGATCTGGAGAAGGCTACAAAAAAAATTCTGCTGCACTGAAAGTTCCCAAGAGCACTGTGGTGTTTCATTGAAGAAGTTTGGCACAACCAGGACTCTTCCAAGAGCTGGTTGCCTGGCCAAACTGAGCAGTCGGGGCGAAGTGGTTTAGTAAGAGAAGTGACCAAGAACCCGATGGTCACTCTGCCTGAGCTCCAGAGATCCTGTGTGGAGATGGGACAAAATTCCAGAAGGACAACCATCACTGCAGCCCTCCACTAATCTGGGCTTTATTGTGGTGTGGCAGAGTGGCACTGAGCCCCTGCTCAGTGAAAAACACATGAAAGTTTGGAGTTTGCAAAAAAAAAACACCTGAAGGACTCTCAGACTGTGTGGGACATGATTCTCTGGTCTGGAGAAACCAAATTTGAACTGATTAATCTCAATTCTAAATGTTATATCTGGAGGAAACCAGGCACTGCTCATCAGCTACCCAATTCCATCCCAACAATGAAGCTTGGTGGTGGCAGCATCATGCTGTGGGTGTGTTTTCAGCAGCAGGAACTGGGAGAAGAGATATCCTCAATGAAAACCTGTTCTACAGCACTCAGTACTTTAGGCTGGGCTGAAGGTTCACCTTCCAGCATTACAATGATTCTAAGCGCACAGCTAAGACAACACAACACAGGAGTGTCTTGGGGACACCTATGTGAATGTCCTAGAGTAGCCCAGCCAGAGCCCTGATTTGAACCCTATAAAACATCTCTGTAGAGATCCTAAAATGGCAGTCCACTGATGGTTCCCATCCAACCGGAGTGAGCTTAAGAGGATTAGCAAAGAAAACCCCCCCAAATCCAGGTGTGAAAAGCTTGTCATATCATACCCAAAAAGACTTAAGTCTGTAATTGCTGCCAAAGGTGCTTCAATAAAGTACTGAGTAAAAGGTCTGAATACTTAAGTACATTTCAGTTTTTTCTTTTTGATAAATTCACAGACATTTCTACAATTCTGTTTTCACTTTGTCATTATGGGGTGCTGAGTGTGGATTGAAGACTTTATGTGGTTTTGAAGGCAAAAGATGGACACACCAAATATTTATTTGATTTTGTTCATTTACTTTCCATTCTGTTAATTGATAAAAATAGACTATTAACACTTCTAGTTCTGAAAGTATTCTTAATTTACAGCATTTTTTCACACCTGCCTAAAACATTTGCACAGTACTGTATATCTGGTAATATGGACAAGATCTTACTCTTTCCAGCTCTAGCTTAGACATAATACAAAAATTTGGCCAAACTCAAACAAATATTTCCTCATTACTGACATTTAGTTAGAAGGATTTAGATGGTTTATTTGCGAGGGTGCTGGTATATACCGTATTTTTCGCTCCATAAGATGCACCTGACCATAAGACGCACCTAGGTTTTAGAGGAGGAAAAGAAGAAAAAAAAATATTCTGAACCAATGGACTGCAGACATAGTACAGGAGATGACCAGAGACTGCAGACACACTACAGGAGATGACCAGAGACTGCGGACACACTACAGGAGATGACCAGATAATGCAGACATAGTACAGGAGATGACTGGAGACTGTAGACATAGTACAGGAGATGACCAGAGACTGCGGACACAGTACAAGAGATGACCAGAGACTGCAAACACAGTACAGGAGATGACCAGAGACTGTGAACACAGTACAGGAGATGACTAGAGACTGCGAACACAGTACAGGAGATGACCACAGACTGCGAACACAGTACAGGAGATGACCACAGACTGCGGACACAGTACAGGGGATGACAAGAGACTGCGGACACAGTACAGGGGATGACAAGAGACTGCGGACACAGTACAGGGGATGACAAGAGACTGCGGACACAGTACAGGGGATGACAAGAGACTGCGGACACAGTACAGGGGATGACAAGAGACTGCGGACACAGTACAGGGGATGACAAGAGACTGCAAACACAGTACAGGGAATGACCAGAGACTGCGGACATACTACAGGAGATGACCAGAGACTGCGGACACAGTACAGGAGATGACCAGAGACTGCGGACACAGTACAGGAGATGACCAGAGACTGCGGACACAGTACAGGAGATGACCAGAGACTGCGGACACAGTACAGGAGATGACCAGAGACTGCGGACAAAGTACAGGAGATGACCAGAGACTGCGGACACACTACAGGAGATGACCAGAGACTGCGGACACAGTACAGGAGATGATCAGAGACTGCGGACACAGTACAGGAGATGACCAGAGACTGTGGACATACTACAGGAGATGACCATAGACTGCGGACACAGTACAGGAGATGACCATAGACTGCGGACACAGTACAGGAGATGACCAGAGACTGGGGACACAGTACAGGAGATGACCAGAGACTGGGGACACAGTACAGGAGATGACCAGAGACTGGGGACACAGTACATGAGATGACCAGAGACTGCGGACATAGTACAGGGATGACCAGAGACTGCGGACATACTACAGATGACCAGAGACTGCGGACACAGTACAGAGGATGACCAGAAACTGCGGACCTTTGGGGAGGGGGGGAAGCGGGGACCCAAATTTGACAGGTACCTGCTCCCACTTCCTCCCTCCCCATCTTCTGGGACACGTGGCAGGTCCCAGAAGACTGCCGGACCATTCAAAAAGCGCAGTGCTTCTCACACATGCGCAATGGGCACCTGACTGTGAAGCCGCAAGCTGTCACAGCCTGGTGCAAGGTCAGGATCAAGCCAGAGTCATACACAGAGTAGCAGCAGACAGGAGCAAGGTCAGGATCAAGCCAGGGTCATACACAGAGCAGCAGACAGGAACAAGGTCAGCATCAAGCCGGGTTGGTAACGGGTAATCAGCAGTAAACTCAGGAACTCAGGAATCGGAGGGGCTGATGATAATCCAGCAATCACTGAGTAGAGCTGCAGTCCTTATAAAGGCCACTGAGTGTCAGCAATTAGTGCACCCTGCGTGTGCCGGTGCGTTTTTGTGCGAGGAATGCATGATTACGTGTCGCCCGCCTATGCGCATGTGCATTTCTTTGAATGAATTGGCGTGGCCATGTTGCGCATTGGCGCATTTGCCCGGGCTTCTTCGTGTTTTCAACAACCCTGAATACAGCATTATTGAGGCAGAGAACAGGAATGAGGGACTGTCCTGGCAAATGCAGGACAGTTGGCATCTATGATAGAGGTTGATGTACTAACGGCATTTACTGTAAGTTGTTCAAGTAGCAAAGTTAAGTAGAAAGATAATTTTCATTTAGCTTAGTAAATGAGATGAAGCCTTGCTAACTTCAACCATCCAATCATGTGCAAGGAAAAACATTTTTATTTTTTTTTCCATGTACATGATTGGGTATTTTTTGCAAGTGAATATTCCCCACATTCACTAAGCTAAGAAAGAAAAATCCTTAAAGAAATAAAGCATTTTGCTAATTGAAGAGTCTAGACTTGCTTTCTTGCAAGAACAAACAATTCTCACCTAACAAACTGTTTTACATATCAGGTTAGGCAATACTTTTTCATTGTCTACACTTTCTAATTCTTGAAAGAATTATGTATTAGTTACATCTCTCTACAAATTGCATTCTCATCCATCTTATCTTTGTCAAATACAAGAAAAAAATTGCAATTACAGCTCCAGTCTACAGCACAATCTCCCTGGAAATTTTTTCATTGAATGCTTTCAACATACTTAAGCCTTGAAAAAGGAAAGTCATTAGCGTTTGAAAGTTACCCATAGTGACATTGAAAATGAGATTATTTTGCTGCTTAGTGACTATTTGCATGGGCATTCAATATGACAGATTCACTTATAAATTGAAAATTGTATTTAATTTAATTTGTCCATCAGTTGGGATAATTGTTTTACAGGGACTGTTAAGTTAATGAAAGCAAAACCTAAGTTTTACTTGGAAGGGTGATAAATAACCTTTCTCACGTAACCTTGCTGTAAGTAATTTGCTTATAACATTTCCAGATATGGGAAAGATCAAGGAAAATCTCCATTAAGCAGTATTTACATGAAAACTCCATAACATAATACGACCTCATTGTATTTCTGTGGGACAAAGGTTTATGGCTCCAAAATCTATATACTTCTCCTTCTATTAGAATAGCTTAAAGTAACATTAAACCTTTCTTTTTTTGTTAAAATAAAAACATGGTATGCTTTAGTTTTGCACAGGTCAGCTCTGATCCTTGTATTCTAGGATCCCCCACTGGCACTCCAGGACCCTCCTCTTTGGGCCAGTGACGGTGGCTTTCTATGGGGGCACCTGTATTTAGGCTTGCTCCTGAATCTTCCTGTCTGCATCTATTGACACAGACCGGGAGGCTCGGCCCCGCACTGCCGCGTCCGTACCACATAATTTGATTGACAGTTGCTATCAATCAGTCCAGTGAGAAGGGAGACAGCAGGAGACAGACTGCTCTTTTGTGCATTGCTGGATCAGGCTCAGTTAAGAATAAGCAGGGGCTGGGGAGAACCTGCATCACAGAGGTTTTTTTTTACCTTAATAGACAGAATGCATTAAAGTAAAAACCTTAAGGCTTTAGAACCACTTTAAAGTGGCTATAAACCTCTAACATGAAAAATGAACAAAGCGTATCCTTACTTGTCTCAATCCAAAGCACCGAATGCCATTTCTCTCTACTGTCTCTTCCCTCTGGTATCTGTATGAGACGCTAATAATATGCCTATGCTGACACAAGAGAATCTCGGGTGATGCCTCCCTCCCAGCATACAGCAGCTGACTGACAGCCTCACCTGTGTATATTACCCTATGGCAGTGTGTGTGTGTGTGTGGGGGGGGTGTCAATTCCCTCCACTCAGGTTTCACTGAGCTCTGTGCTCTAGCTGTGCAGTGTGTGCAATGCCAGATCCCTGCCCCTACTTTCTACTGCTGAAAAATAGCCTTTGATATGTATTTTAGAAGGATGTAGAAAATAGTGGGCTGCAGATAAATATAGATACAATTTATGTAGGAAGATTTGTTTAATCTCTGTATATCACTAGATACCAGTCACTTCACTGGGTATTTGTAAAGGTTTTCAACCACTGTGATGCAGTCTTCCTTCCCAGCAGCATATACTCACCTTCCATTTACTCCTCTGTTGTCCCATTCACCTGCTGGATCAAGTGAAATGCCTGACACTCTTGAATTTGAGGACTTGATTTGCTCCTTCAGTCCTATATGATAACAGTAGTATATGGTAACTGACACAACACTCTCATATGAAAGTGATCTCCTTGTAATTGTGATGTGGCAGTTTTTTCCCCCTGTCCCAGCAGTCAAGTAGAGAGCTTCAAGAGTCAGAAAGGTAAGTACACTGCTGGGAAGGGGGATGGGGGGCAGGTTGTTAAGTGACCCTTTTACTTTGCCATGCATGGGGAAAAGGAAAGGCTAATTTAAAGATTGCTGACAAAGACTACATTTTTTTCAGTGCATGGTTTATGAGGAAAACTAATCTGAATATGCCCTTGTGCTTCAATATTCAGTATTAAATAATTTACATGCTGCATTAAAAGATATTTATAGAAGCAAATGCCTACCATTAGGGATTATACATTGTAGAAACGCTTTTTTGAGCCTGGTACAGTTCGTATAAACATGGTAAAAATGCATTGCTCTTCAGATTTTATTGCATATTTTTAAAGTGGTTGTAAAGACAGAAGAATGTTTTTTACCATAATCCATTTTTTGCATTAAGGTTAACCGCTTCCTGATCACCCTGTAGCAGAAATACTGCTACATGACAGCAGGGCTGCTCAAAACCACGTATATATATATATATATATATATATATATATATATATATTTAGCATTTCCGGGTAGGAGGTGCAAGCGCCGCCCTACCAATGCTTCCGTCGGCGGCTACAGATGTTGATCACCGGGTCCCTGACGGAGGTTCCCTGCCGGCACCTGGTGATCACCGGGTATCACTGACAGGGGAGAGACCTGTGTGTAAAGAGCACAGGTCTCTCTCCTGCCAGCAGTAACATGCTGCTCTGTATTTCTCTGTACAGCAGAGAAATACACAGCAGTATGTTGCCCTAGTAAAACACACACAGTAAAACAGCACACAGTTAACCCTTTGATCGCCCCAGATGTTAACTCCTTCCTGCCCAGTGTCATTAGTACAGTGTAAGTGCTTTTTATTAGCACTGATCACTAAATTAGTGTCATTGGGATGTCAGTGGTAGTTAGTCAGTTCCCCCCAGTGTCAGAATGCCTGCTGCAGTCCCGCTATACATCACTGATCGCTGCCATTGCTAGTATAAAAAAAAAGTAAAACTATTCTAGTATATATATTGCCATTTGTAGATGCTATAACTTTCATGTAAACCAATTCATTTACATGTAATGGGATTTTTTTTAGCAAAGATATGTAGCAGAATTTTGGCCTAAATTTATGAAGATTTTAATTTTATTTAAAAAAAATTATCGGTCTTTTTGTGCTTATAGCGCAAAAACTAAAAAAACCTACCAAAAGTACGCTCTATTTGTGGGAAAAAAGAACATAAATTTCATTTATGTACCATGCTGTATCGCAAAAAATGGCCTGGTCAGGAAGGGAGTAAATCCTCTGGAGGGCAAGTGGTTAAAAAAACTTTCTGTATTCAATTTCTTCCCAGCCCCCCTAATAATTACCTCAGCACGATCTCTATCTAGCGCTGTGCCCCAGAGCAGCAGCACTACTCTCTTTTTCTATCTCCTCACTGGATATGGAGGCTACTGAGGGGGAGGGGGGGGGGGGAAGGGCCAAGTCATGAATAGAGCCAGCATGACTTAACATGACATAGCAGCCATAGTGGCTTGCTATGGGGCCACGTGGAAGGGTGGTGGAGCAAGTTACACCAGAAGAGGAGGATCGGGGCTGCTCTGTGCAAAACCATTGCACAGAGCAGGTAACTATAACATGTTTATTTAAAAAAAAAATACCTTTACAATCACTGTAAACTGGAACTTCACTCTCTCAATCAACACTGACTATTTTTAATCCTTATTCTGCTGGTATTAGTAAATAGATAGGAAAGTATTTCATATTTACTTGTGTTCATTTTTTTTTTTTTTTTTTTTTACATTTCTTCCATTAGTTCCTGTTTTCCATGCCTAGGCAAATGATGTCATACATCCCAGCAGTCTTCAGGAGGGGAGAGAGGGTTCTCAGCTCAGCTAAATGCCTGAGCTATGGGCTGATGGATTCCAGGAAGGAAATGCTACATGAATCATCTGCCCTTACTCAAGATGGCCACTGCCAGAAATGCTAGGGGGTTTTTTTCCAAATTATTCTGCTTTGCATAATAACAATGAATTAAATAGTATTTTCAGCTTGTGCTGCTCAGATGCAGTGCAGTTCCACTTTAAGTTCCTGAAACATCAACATGTTCGAACAACATAAGAGTCATCTGAGCTGCACAGACAACTGCAGAAGACCCCACTGGCTGATGAAAGTTCTGATATCCGAGTTAGAAAGCATCAACTCATCCTTGATTGTTTTCATCTGCCCATTATAGAAAAACCCAGTGCATTAATAACACTCATCGTTCACATGAGGCATGCTACCCACACCAGGAGTACAAAAGACTTGTGAATCCCTCCACCAGAGTACACTTTAGTATGCCCTGTGCAAATGAGGC